GGGACGGTTTTAAGATATATCTCCGTCCATGCCGGGGATATTTGGTTGAGTTTTTTCCGTAAATATTTTATCAAACTTCACGTGAGCATGGCTTTTGTAATACCGTATGTACCCTTATCCATCCTTATCCTTGTAACATCCATCGCTCATCAGCTTCTTGTTTACCAATAACACATTATTTCCTGCATGAAATGTTCATTTCATTTTTGGGGGGGCTTATGAAAAAGTTCTGGATCCGCCACTACCCAAAATGACTAGTGTAAAACAATTTAAACTTGAAACCAACGGTCTAATCTATAAAAAAAAACGAGAAACGAGAAACACCTATGAACCACACCAGCAAACGACAAACACTGAACAACAGGCTCCTGACTGAGGACAGGTGCATAAAAATGCAGCGGTTTTAAACGTTTTAACAGGCGCCAACCTTCACCCTAAACTGAGACAGTGTAACATTACAACATAAAAAGACACACTATAAAATATCAATTGAAATGGCTTAACTCGATCAAAAAGACATTTAAAACAAAAATAAGTAAACATAATTACAATGAACGAATAAGTTTGATCTATGACACAATATAAATACAATATTAAAACGTAGGTGCAAAATGGCGTTAAATAAAACAACGTACGCAGGTAAATCTAAATATAATAGTTTTGACGTTAGGAGTACGGAAGTATATAGTTTTTACAAAATTAAGAAATGTGTTGTTTAGAGTACGAGTACGGAAGTGAAAATTTATTGTCATACTAAATTTACCCAGAATGCATTATATTCTGAAACGGCGAGTTGTAATGACAGTACAACAATGACTTTCCCTTGACAATACGCAATTAACTTTGGACAGATTTATTCAAAATGTGCAGTTAAAACATAAAAAATACAAATACAACAAATTGTAATAGTTTGTTAAAATTAACAAACTTGATTCACTGGGTTGTTAAAAAGGCCACATTTATGGGAATAGGCAAAATGAAGTTTCGACATATATCCCAGAATCTAAGTTCACGTGGTAAATATATTAATACTCTTAAACAAAAGTGAATGTCTGATAAGTGCTACTCAATATTCAAAAACTATATTAAGTAATTTTATCTAATTGCAGGATTAACATTGGATGAAATTACTGGGAACGCCATTTTGTTTTTGTTAGTCGGATACGATACCACTGCCGCCGCACTAACATTTGTTTCCTATTGCCTAGCAACCAATCCAGATTGCCAAGAGACACTTATCAAAGAAATAGATTCCGTTTTAGGAAAAGTAATACCCTTCAAATTCATAAATGGTCTTTTTATTATGATATAATTTTAGTTTGTTTGGACTCTCCTTCTTCTTCTTCCAGGTAAGGAACCGGTTCAATAATTGAAAGTATTAGGTCCCGCGAAAGTTAAATTTTTACACTTTTTTTTAAATATTGGATGATTTTTTTTGTTCAAATGATAATCAAAATACAATATGTTTAATGCATAAACCGAATTGGTATATTATGATCCCTCATTTGCAACGGAAAGGTTCTTGAATGGAAAAAAGGTGAATTGTTACAGTTTATCATATTTTTCAGGATTGTCCGAATTATGACAATATCCAGAAGATGGATTACCTGGATCGAGTATTCAGTGAAACATTGCGCCTATACGCACCAGGAGGAAGGTACGTAATCGGATATACAGTGAAACATTGCGTCTATACGCACCAGGAGGAAGGTACGTAATCGGGTATACGGTGAAACATTGCGCCTATATAGACCAAGAGGATGGTAAATACCTTGTAATTCCATTTACAATGTATACAAATTAGAATAAATCAGTACAATATACGGGCTATTTAAAAATTCGTACACCTTTATCGTCTTGGGAAATTCTCTTAGAAAGGCCCTCTTGAAAACATCAGGTAATCGACTGTCATAGTTCTCACATGGTACAAGCAGGTTCAAATGTAGTGGCTTGAACTAAGTTTTACATCGCTCTAATCCTTCAACTTGCATTATAGAATTGTCCGTTCCAATGATATAAATCTTTGAGTCGAATTGAATTTTCAATTAGGGTGTCGATGTGTATTCGTACAGGAAATATATACGTATCCCACACACTCAATCAGAGGCCATTCAGCAACAAACGCTTTGTACGTCCAGAAACATGTAAAACAATATTAGTCGAAGAGAACAGACAAAACGAAAGGGTAAACAATTCTCCATAACATGTATTTGATTTAAATGTCACATTCATTTTGGACATTGTTGTATATTGCGGGGACGACCATTTTATTTTTCGGGGGGGTGGGGGTGGGGGATCTAGGTGGTTTTAAAAAAAATGAATATCCTGGCATGGTAAGAGCTGAAAATGAATAACCTTGCATAAGACAGGATAAAAGAATATTATTCAACACAAAATTCAGAAAACAATTGTGTACAAAAGGGAATACAAAATAAACAATCGTAGCAGCAGATAAAAATGAATAGTACAATCCTAGAATATGAAATGGTCGTCCCCTTATCCCGCCTGCATTAGTCAGTGGAGCTCTTAAGGCAAGAGTACAACCATTTATTTATACTGTCATTAGAAGATGCAACATGCAAACTAGTAAATTTAAGTTTTCAAAGCAGCACTTATGTTATCAAAATATATCGATTTATGTAATAATTGAATTCAATTCACTTGGTAGAAAAACAAGTTGTAAAACAAATAGTTGCAAAAATATTTCTTGGTTCAAAGTAGATTATAATTATTATCTTGCTATGAACGTGATCAGTTGTAGCTTCCTTGTTTGACCAGGAAAATATTTTTATCATCCCCACCGCGCAGAGGGGACATTAAGTGTTACCCTTGTCCGTCTGCCCGTACATCCAAAAATTAGTTTCCGTTCTCTTACTTTATTTTGCCTTAACCAAATGTTAATAAACTTACACACAATGCTTATTACCACAATACACAGATCAAATTCGAATTTGGGTTGCCTCACTTTTATCGTTCTTGAGTTACATGCAACGGGGGCATCATCTGTGTCCCATGGACACATTCTCCATTTATTTTATATGAAATAATAGTCTATGTCAAAAATGGAGAGCATCTTTAATCCTAAACAGTCATTGGGTAAGTTGTAATACATTAATTAACTGTACTAACATCTGCCATATCACAATTTCGCTTGATACATTGTAAACTGACCATTCTCTTAATATCCTACCTCTTTATTCTTTGTTTATTTGTATTTTTTCCTAATTTTTCTGTTGTGTTTATTTTTAGAACAGGCAGACATGTTGAGAAAGAAATGATTGTTCATGGATATAAAATCCCCCAAAATTCAGAGATAATGATTCCTATACATGCAATTCACAGAGATCCGGAATTCTGGGATTAACCTGACAAATTTGATCCTGAGAGGTAAGTAATAGACTATTCACATATTACCGACTTTTGATTGCGGATTATATAATTTTTTGACAGGTGTCCTACTCTATAGGTAGGAAATCCTGGTATTCAGTCAATTAGGAGCAACCAAAAGAAGTGAAATCAAACATATAATTGGTGCAATTTGAGGGGAAAGTGAACTTTTTTCCGGTGATTTTGTCCTGTATAGAATACATAAAACAAATAATTCCCCCCTCACCCCCCCCCCCCCCCCCCTCCCCCCCCCCCTCCCCCCCCCCCCCCCCCCAAATTGTAAGCTTGATTTTACTTCTTTACGTTGCTCTTATTTGACCGAGTACCAGAATGTCCTACTTACAGAAAGGTAACCTGTCTAAAAATATAAACTCTGGAGTCAAAAGTCGGTAATATGAAAATAGTCTATTGCTATGAATAAAAGTGAAAATATTCCGATAACAAAAAAGAGAATATTCCGAGTTCTTAATGTTTTACATACATTTGTTTTAACACGAATTTGAGTGATCACAAAATGCTTGTTTAATGATAAAGTAAGTCAAACACATCTTATCTTTCAGATTTACACCAGAAAACAAAGCAAAGAGGCACCCTTACTGTTGTTTACCGTTTGGCCATGGACCTCGAAAATGTTTGGGCATGCGTCTGGCACAGGTAGAAGCCAAATATGCACTAGTTTACATACTGCAACATTACAGGTTCAAAACATGTGAAGAAACGGAGGTAAATGAAATGATTTATTTCAGGGGGGGGGGGGGGGGGGGGGGGTCATTTTAAAACTTTGTTACGTAATTTTTTTTATTATGTTATAAAGGGTAAGATGCTTAAATTGTTTGCAGCTGAATATATAAGTTGGTTCATAAGCGGTGTAATTAATTTATTCCCACAACTATTATTTAGTCCCCGGTCCAAGACCAATCAATTAAAGCTAGGTACACAAAATATACCAATGTACCTCAAATCGAATAATTCGTTCGTTATATTCCGCTGCTCCACTATTGCTCCATTAACCTCGTGTGGGAGAAAATCAGACACGGAGATGAATTGAACTATTCGAGATAATGTACCTCACACTTCAGAATGTAGTATTTATCACGTTTATGTGGCCATTTTGTGTAGGACTTTCCTGTTCATGAGATTTTCGTTTTAAACATTTTGTGCGTAAAATAAAGAAATTTAACTCAAGAGTCCAAAATGGATCTGAACGAGAAAATGAAATAACATGCATGAACCAAACTATACTAGTTTCTCAGTTAACAAACATCTCTGACTTCTTCAAAAAATTATGTCTAAGGTATGAATATTACTTCCAAAAAACTTAAGATATTAAATATTACCCCAAGTTATCTTTTATCAAAATTATTGTGGAATAGTTATTTTTCGTGAAATATCATTTTTTGTGGATTTCGTGAGTATACGTTAACCACGAATTTAAATGCTCAATGAAAACATGTTTTCCATAGGCAGTATGCAGACTTTGGCAAAACCGCGAAATCAAATATACACGAAAATCCAGTTTTTCCTCAATCCACAAAAATTGCTACCCAAAGAAAAAATTAATCCACCTTATATGGAACATTGTAGGTTATCTTTCGGTATTTTGTTTATTTCAGATTCCCATACAACTGACAAAAGGGCGGATTACAAAACCCGCGAATGGCATGAAACTGAAACTGGAAAGTCGAATGTAGAAAACCCTAACTGCATACGATATAACTTGGGAGGATTGTGTGACATTATACAAAGATTTTGAGACAGTATTTAGCGTTACCTTCATTTTAATTAACAACTGTACAAGATATTGTTGGATTAAAGTTTGCATATTCTCATCTTAGAATTTCTGTGTAAATTCTTAAAAACTGTATTAATTTCAAACGATCGTTGTCTTTTTGTTCATGTGGTTGGCGTATTTATTGTTTTAGGTCTTTTTGTCTCGGAATGACCTTAAATTTGTCGCAGAATAGCATTTTGACGTCAAGGAACAATCAATTTTTAATTTTGTATTTGTCCCTGTACGGTAATACTTTTCGGCAGTTAGTCTCGGAAGTAACAATAATTATTTCTTATTGTTACTTTTTGCGGTAATCGTAGCCAGTGCCCATGTTTTATCTACTCATCTATACATGAATGACCAAGACGACTTATTATAAAGCCAGGGTTTTGATCCCAATTAGACGTACACCCTAGTAGCTCATATTTCCTTGATATTTCAATGATAAAAAGATAAAGCAGTTATAGTGTTTTGCATACAGTTAAATACAAAATCAAAATAAAAAAAAAAATTAATATTCTAAAAAGAAAAACAAAACTTAGAATGTATATTATAAACAATTGACCTCGCTTACATGCTAACAACTTATACTTCAAATGCAATAAACTCAACAACAAAAATCACATACACAGAATCAACCACACAACATGAAAAAATATTCATACTACATGTATGTTATCTGATCTTTTCTCCGATCGCACGTTTATACATTCTTTCACTATAAAAACACAAGTGAATGTTCATTGTCCTTTTCTCATTCATACATATTGCTTTCATTCTATTCTCATCTTTGCTCTCAAAGTGGAGAAGCTGACCCAAAAAATACACCTGATGGCACAACAGTGACATTCAGATATTGCTGAGGTTTAAATAATCCTAAATGAGTTCCTGTAAATACCTCTGTGATGATATATCCACCAGGATTCGTTAGTCCGAGGTCTGAACATAATACTTTTACCTGAAAGGAAATGCAATGCGACATTACAGTTTGTATAGTCGTGCATACATCATAGAAGTAACTAGCTTGTACATTCAATTATCGTGTAATGAGTTTCCACACCAATATATGACTACTAGTATATATTTCATATCTATATTCCTCTTTTACAGGTCAGTAATCTCTGCATTTTGAATAATGATGTGATTAGCATCGAGTATGTGTATAAGCAGTCAAATTTCAACCCCTTTAATGGCAGCTATAATTTCGTAAAGTAAGTGGCTACATGTACAACTCCAACTTTACCCATAGATACCTTATCTGAGAGGAAGTTTAGTAAGCAACAATCCTCTTTAAAGGAATTCTTACAAATACTAAGTCCTGTAAAATATTACAAACAGTTGTATATTCTTGTATCGTGGATGTTAAAAATATTAAGTTCTAGTGTACAGTCTGCCTCATCAGAATATAGACCCACTGGTGGCCTTGGGAAGTTTTCTGCTCTTTGGTCAGATTGTTGTCTCTTTGACACCTTCCCCGTTTCCATTTTACGAATTTTAGACGGCCATTGTAAAAAAAAAACAGTCCAACGCTACAGGGCCAGGAACTTTGTTTGCAACATACCGCAAACATTACACAATTTTTGCAAGCTTGGGTTCTGTAAATTGCAAGTACATGTATAAACATGTAACTGTCTATAAACGAGGCATCAGATTAAACGGTCCCATATCGACTATACACATGATGACTATACACGTGATTGCGTATTCAGCAAAACCGACACAACTCTTTAGATTTAGTCTTACTGTCGAGTGTGAGAAGTTCAGGTTCAGATGACCATACATAAATTATTAATCCCTCCACATTACGTTCCCAGTCAGAGGTCTGTCATTGAGTGGTTGTTTTTTGTTGCTGTCTGTCATAATTGTCTCCATTTCATGTTTTTATTATAAATCAGGCAGTTGGGTTTCTCGTTTGAATACTTCACATATTTTGTTATGTCAGGACTTTTACCTTTGATCTAAGCGAACCCAGAGCATATGCTAACAGAAGTCAACAGGCACAGATAAAAGTATAAAATTACATACATGTTCAAAACAAATAGTATTTTTTTTTTCTAACCATTATAAATAAGATTGTGATAATAATAAATATCAAGAGTTCAACTATCATAATGGATATGTCAGTTGCTTGTGGCACGGTCGTAACTACCTTGCAGTGCTTCAACTGAAAATCACGACGGTCTCAATCTTCAATTTTCAGTCTTTAAAGTAAGAGTCATACCAATCAATTTCATTTTTACTGGTGTGAACATAATGTTTGTCTCATGTTAATTTATTTAAGTTGGTTGCTTTAGTTGTAAAACAAAGTTAAAATAAAATAAAATTAACAAAAAACGTAGATAATAATTAGACGTGTAAAGACAACATAGACTACGAAGTCGGGGACAAACAAATAAAAGTGTTTTTCCTTTTATTTCTTTGTCTTGAAAATTGTAATCAATATTTTTCGCAGGCAAAGGATCCGATATATATTCATTTAACTGTGTATTCCAGGGGCGGATTCAGGCAGGGACGTGCGCCCCTCCCCTAAAATTTGCAAAGCATGGGTTGTCCTCAGCTTAATGAAGAATATTTCGATAATTTTACCTCAAAAAAAAAAAAAACAAAATCGCCTCGCTCCGCTCGATAAAAATTTAAGTTTGCGCCCCCCTTTTAACCTTAAATCCTGGATCTGCCCCTGTACGTATTCCTTCCGATGATAGTGTAATTAAAAAAAATACAGAAGAACGCTCGTAGATAATTTATCTAAATATATGCTGTATTTCTTCTGTGCTTAAATCAGCGGCCTACAAAACTGCATCACATGGCATGATGCAATAAAATGAGTGCCCTGGAATTGAAAAAAAAATTAATAATAAAAAAATTAAAAAATATCCGGCGGGTTTAATTTATTTGTATTGCATTAAGCATGTTTAGAACAACACCGTGCGGAAGGCGTTCATAACAAACGAGATAACAAATCATGTGAATGAAACTATGTACGGTCTTGTAAAAAAGGTTAACATGCATACCTAAATCTACCTCTATGCAAAACAAGTATTTTCACCAGACTGTCATCTTTAATTTTACAGTTAAAAATAAAATAATTAAAAAATATCACAGTCCTTGTTTACCTACCTGTGTAAGATACTGTGTAAATATGTAATCATGTGACTTAAGATATTGATCTATCTTATGACCAAATCATGTGTCAGAGTAACAGCAGGTTAAGATGTACATAAAGTAAATCATTATTAAAAGAAAATGATAAGCAAATACATGTATACATGTGATTGTCTAATCTATGACGAACAATATATAGAATTATTATCACATGATCTGAATAAATTTATCTATTATAATGTTTATACAAGTTCGTCTCAGTGTTAATCATACACTCAACTAGGTAAATTCTTTAGATTAATGCTTGTTTTCATATAACGCCAATGGGAACGACCATTTAACTTCAAAAGGGGAGGGGGGGGGGGGGGGGGGGGCGGATTCCTAAACCATATTACCCTCCCTTTGAAGTTCAACGGTTGCTCCCTTATTATTTATTTACGAATCGGTCTTTTGATGTTGTCCCTCAAAAATAAAAGTCTTACAAACGCTCAGAATGCCCTTGATATTTTCTCTTGCAATACGGCTTTTGATCTTGATCTAAAAAATGATTCTACATAGTTTGTATTCACTCTTTACAAATGAGTAGGAATTATATTTATCCAATGAATGGTAAAAAAAAAATATTTTTTGCTCGTTTAATGTTAAAACTTTGTTTTCGAATGCAATTGCCATGCAACAACTTTATATATAAAAACAGTCTAAAGAAAAACAGTAACACGTTTTGTTTGTTTGCCTGTCTTTGAGTTATAGACAAAATTTTGCTGCAGGTTAGTCATAATGCAATCAATTAAACCATACCCTACCGGTATCTCACATATTAATTTCATGATATGCAGCAGCTTGAACAGGGAACCAGAAGATATCAGTCAGACGTCAGAGCTGTAATCCAGTCCATTACCGAGGATGCAAAAGACATGAAATTTTTGATTGATCGAAAAGCAGAAGAACTGATTAAAAAAAAACATGTTTAACTCCGCCGCATTTTTGCGCCTGTCCCAAGTCAGGAGCCTCTGGCCTTTGTTAGTCTTGTATCATTTTTAATTTTAGTTTCCTGTGTATAATTTGGAGTTTAGTATGACGTCTATTATCACTGAACTAGTATACATATTTGTTAAGGGGCCAGCTTAAGGACGCCTTTGGATGCGGGAGTTTCTCGCTACATTGAAGACCCATTGGTGGCTTTCGGCTGTTGTCTGCTCTATAGTCGCGTTGCTGTCTCTTTGACACATTCCCCCATTTCCATTCTCAATTTTATGGAACAAAAAAAAAAGAATCTTCAGAATTTCTCGGCTTCCAACAATGAATTAAAAGATACTTTAAATAAAGTCAACAAAATCCAGAAAGCAATTATAGACACAGCTAACATGCCCGATGTGGCACTGCTTGTAAGGCTTAGATATCTTCGAGGTGAACTAGACAAATTGGGGACAAAGAAAATTCTTGCTATACCGAAAGTTAAATACGCTCAAAAGAATATATCAGAGAACGATATCGGGAATTTGCTTGGGGACTTGCTATACAGGTAAATTATAAGTTTAAAACAAATTGAATTAATTAATATAGAACAAAAGTTGAATATTTTAATAATATTACATTTTCCAGGATATCATGATTTGCTGCTGCCAACTTTTTTTATTATTTTTTTTTTAATTTATAAAGTAAACTTTGATGACATACATTTCAAGTTTCATAGCACAGTTTGAGGTCCATATTTAAACATGTTTAATAATCTACTTTTATTCTCATAATAAGTGTCAATGCTTGTTGTTGCTAAGCAGTATGGGGAGTATAACAACATATATCTGTCAATTAGTGAAGATATATAATTTAATGATTTCTAACAATTTATTTTACTAAATAGCAAAAAGCGAGTTTTT